TTTTTGTTTGTTTGGTTGTTTGTTTTGCTTAGGCGATATGTGGTCTTTTCTTTTGATTCCAGACAAGTTATAGGATTCTTTTCTATTTATGTGAAAACAAGATGAAAGCTTTCCCACTAGAAACTGGAAGACAAGACTTAACACTTTCTCCACTCTTTTACAACATAGTGCTGGGAGCCCTAGCCAATGCAGTCAGACAGAACAAAATAAAAGGCATTTGGATAGGAAAGCAGAAGCTACAATGTCACTATTTGCAGATGATACGATTATATACATAGAAAATCCAAAGGAATCTATGAAAAAAAAAAAAAACCTCCTAGAAGTGATAAATAAATTCAGTAAAGTAGCAGGATACAAAATCTATATACAAAAATGTATAGCATTATTATACACCAACAATGAAAAGACTGAGACAGAATCGAAGAAAGCAATCACACTTACAGTAGCCACAGGTAAGTAAGATATCTAGGAATAAATTTAACCACAGAGATGAAAAGCCTCTCTAAGAAAAACTATGAAAAAGTGAAAAAAACAAATTGAGTATAAAATAAAATGAAGACATCATGTGTATTTGGATCAGAAGGTTCAATATAATCAAAAGGTCAGTTCTATACCCAGATTAATTTATCTATTATTCAGTGTAATTCTGATCCAATTGTCGGTGATATTTGTCACAAAAATCTAAATCTTCCGTTGGGCTGGCCCTACAGCCTTGTAGTTATGGGAGCTAGGTTCCACACGGCTGACCACGACTCAAATGCTGGGCCTGGTAGCTTAAAAAAACATGCTGGACATGTGCACATACATGCCCCAAATCCCAATAGGATAGAGAAGTGGAGAAGAAGGGATTGTGGCACGACCAACTCCATTAAAGGATCATTTCCTGCTTTTTCCTGTTTCTCTGAAACAGGAAGGAGAAAGCATCCCTAACAGGGTGTGGTCATGCCACAATCATGCCATGTGCCCTCTGGCGATTAAAAAAAAAAAAGATTTTTAAACTTCTGTGCATCAAAGGATACACTGAGTGAAAAAGCGACCTATGAAATGGGGAGAAAAATGTAAGTAATATATCGGATTAAGAGGTTAAAATCCAGACTAGACAAAGAACTTCTATAAACCTGATTTTAAAGTGAGCAGAGAATTTGGAACCAGCAGTTAGTGTAATGGCTATGTCACTGGACTCCCACGTAGTCGACCGCAGTTTAAGTCCCAGACCCAGTGGCTTAAACTCACACTGGGCACGTGTGCGTGTGTGTCCAAGATCCTGAGAGGAGAATGGAGGACAAGGGATTGCAGCATGGCCATCTCCCCTGGGGGGTGATTTCTCGCTTTCTGTCTCTATGTCTCTTTCTGTCTTTCCGGCAAGCACATGTGCCCTACAGCAAAAAAGAAAAAAAAAAAAGAAAAAAAAAAAAAAAAAAAAAAAAAAACTCAAAAAAAAAAAGAGCAAAGAATTTGAATAGCTATTTCTCTAAAGAAGCTATATAAATGCCCAAGAAGATTTTGAAAAGATGCTCAAAATCACTAATCATTAGGAAAATATAATCAAAACCACAATGAGATTATTACCTTCCACCCATTAAGATGGCTATGTAAAAAGCAGCAAATATTCACTACTGATGAGAATGTGGAGAAATTTAAAATCTTTGTACAATGTTGGAGGGAATGTAAAAAGGTGCAGGTACAGTAAAAAAGTGTGTTTGTTTCTCAAAAAATTAAAAATAGAATTACTGTACAATCCAGCAATTCCATTTCTGGGTATATACCCAACAGAATTAGAAGTAGAATCTGGGGCCAGTAGGTGGTGTGGTGGTTAAGGGGCTGGACTCCCACATGGTCAACCACAGTTCAAGTCCCGAACCTGACAGCTCGCTCGTTCTCTCTCTCTGTCCCTCTCTGGTCAAATTAAAATAAATAAAATGAATAAATGAATAAATTTAAATAAAATAATTTTTAAAAGTAGAATCTAAAAAAGATTTTTGCACACTTATGTTCAAAGCAGAATTATTCATAATATCAAAGAGGTAGAAACAACCCAAGTGTCCATCAAGAGGTGACTAGACCAAGAAAATTTGATATCTACATACAATGGAATGTTATTCATCATTAAAAAGGAAATACTGGGACCAGCAGATGGCCTAATGGCTATGTCACTGGACTCCCATGTAGTCGAGTGTGTTTCGAGTCCAGGACCCGGTGGCTAAAACTCATGTTGGGTGTGTGTGCATGTGTGCCCAAAATCCCAAGAGGAGAATGAAGGAGAAGGGACTGTAGTGTGGCCATCCCCTCTGGTGGGGGGAGGGGAGTGATTTCTCTATTTCTGTCTCTGTCTCTGTCTTTCTTGCAAGCACATGTAACCTATAGCAAGAATAAAAAAAAACTCTCCAAAAAAAAGGAAAAACTGGGGCTAGTCCCTTGGCCTAATGCTTAAGGAAGCTAAATCCCATATAGCCAACTGTATGGTTCAAATCTTGACCTCAGCAGCTTGAAAAGCACACCAACCCTGTGTACATGCATGCCCAAAATTCCAATAAGGAGAAATTCCCTTGGAGGATGCTTTCTACCTCTCCTCCCCTCCCCTTTGGTCAATACACATGCCCTCTGGCAAATAATAATATAATAATTAATTTAAAAGAAAATATACACTACAACATGGATGTGAGGATCTTATGCTGAGATAAGCTAGTCACAAAACAAAACAAAACAAAACAAAGTATGATTCTAATCATATGATGTACCCTGAGTCGTCGAACTCAGAAAGAATGGTTGTTACCAAGGCCTGGAAAAATGGGAAAACTGGGAGTTCTTGTTTAATGAGTATGGTGTTTCAGTTTTGCAAGATAAAAAGTTTTGGAGATTGGTTGTGCAACAATGTGAATATACTTTTTAAAAATATTCAAAAAATGTGCATGCATGCACAAGAGAAAGAAAAACACCTTCAATGGCATCTCATCACACTGCAGTTCAAGCCTGGGCTCTGAAGCTGTGGTCGACCACGTGGCCTCCAGCACTGCAGTTCAGTGTGCTACTGACTGTACCACCAGACTGAGACCAATGTGAATACAACTAACATTACTAAATTGTACACTTAAAAATGGTTAAGATGTGTTAAAATGCAAAAAAAAAAAAAAACATTTAATGCCTTAATGTGCTTCTTCCTCTGATTGCCTGCTCCAAATTGGCTCTACTCAATGAACATATTTTACTTTCAGGTTATTTCCTAGTAAAGCTACTCAGAGGCTTAGAAACCTGATATGTGAATAAAATATTCTGAAAGCAGAAAGGTTAGTATTTCCTTTTGAATTTAACTCAGACAGACCAAAGAGGCTGGATATTTATTCATATGTACTATTCATACAAAGCATCTGTGTGGAAAACAGTATTTTTCTCTGACTACTGGGTCTTAATCAATTAATTGGAGGCCATCCTTTTAAAAATGGACAGACTTCTGGCTCTTGATTAGTTCCTATATGTATTTAGAAAGGAATTTTAATACATGTTTTCAAGAAAAAGTATTTATTTGACACCATTACAAAAATATTTAGGCACATAATTTTCATGTTTATGTCACCTGATTTACATATCTCAATCCTCAGTACTTTTTAAAAACACTAAAATGGTCATTTGGTAAATAGAATCTATATTGAAAAAATATTGTGAGAGGCTAACATTTGTAGACAAAAATCAGTTGATCATCAGCATGAGAAAGAAAACATTTGTAAACAAAATAATCTCTAAAACATTTTTGTGAGATAATAAATCTAACCAGTAGATTTCTTTTTAAAAAAGTATTCTCAAAAACCAAAACTTAAAAAGGATACTGTAGGAATCTCCGCGTACTATGCAGCGACACCCTAACAGTAATAACCGGAAGACAATTTTAAGAAAACAGGGATGATGTCAGTGACTCACAAGCACTGGGAGCGAGATAAGCCTGGGAGCTGAGGCAGCACACAGTCAAGTGCATTTCATTGGGAGAGGGAAGAAGGAATGTCTGGCCTCTACAGGAGCTACCTTCGGGTGACAAACAGAAAATGTTAACTGAATTACCATTCTGAAATATGATCATCTTCTAAGACAGAAAGCAGTTTTCCTTTTTTTGCAATTTATCAACATAATATGAAAGTAACTTCATTAAAAAAAAAAGGATCACCTGCATCACACAATGATCATAATTGTATCTGGTGGGTACTTAAAAAAAGAAGAGAGTGAAAAGAAGCTGTTATCAGAGCATTCTAGAGGCAACCAGGAAATACACACATTGCCTAGGCCTACAGTATTTGAGGAGCATAAGAACCTTGTGAACCTTAAGAACCTCGTTTTATTCGCAGTCTCATCTTGAAATAGTGACCATAGCTACATTTGCTAAGTAGCTCATATGTACTAAGCATTGTGCTAAGTAGTTTTATATCCATTATCTCATTTATTCTGAATTCTTTTTCCTCAGGAGAGAAAAGTCAATTATACCCTTGTTCGTAGGAGGAACCAGTATTACACAGTTATGGGGATGCAAGAATATGTGCAATAAAGGGAGAAATGTAAGCTATTCAAAAAATTATAAAAGCCACATCACTTGGGACCAGCAGATGGTGTATGGCTACGTCACTGGACTCCCATTTGGTCAACCGCAGTTCGAGTCCTGGACCCGGTGGCTTAAACTCTTGCTGGGTACATGTGCATGCATGCCCTGGATTCTGGGAGGAGAGTGAAGGAGAAGGGATTGCAGCGTGGCCATCCCCCCTGGGGGCTGATTTCTCACTTTCTGTCTCTCTGTCTGGCAAGCGCTTACACCCTATAGCAAAAGCCTCTCAAAAAAAAAAAAAAAAAAAAAAAAATCCATGTCACTTATCTCAGAGCTAGAAAACTAAGTTATGCAAGTCCCCTTAGATTAAAAAACAAAAATCAAAAATCGAACTTTAGCCCTATTGCTCTAAAATCAGCAATGCTGTACAGGCTACTGTGCACCATCACAGACTCCTTTCACCTGTTTCCTTTCTCTCAATTCTGGATCAGGCGACCACTTCTGGCTGAAGAATGATTTACTCCTTCAGAGCAAGAACCATGTCCTATTCCTGTTTCCCAGAGTTCAGCAAAATGCCTGGCATACAACAGCCACTCAGATCTTCGCTCATTTAATGAGGCCATAAAAATTAATGTAAGGCAGGCCCAAAGTCCCAAGTACTGTCTATCCCAAACCAATCAAATGCGAAACTCTACTATTCTTTCTGTAGGGCTCTTACATCAGCTTTACTGACCAAAACCTTCCATGGCTTTGAAAACTTGCATATGCACTTTTCTAAACCCACATGTAAGTTGGATCCTACAAATGACTGACTTGTAGAGAGCCACATAAGGCAATTAATCATGTGACAAATCGGCAGCATGCGGTCTGACCAACCAAGGTTATTCTAATCCATCTGGTGGTGACTACAAGCAAATCGGCCAAAGAGGACTTCATTTTCATTAACTCTAAGAGGAGGAGTCATTAGTCATAAAATTTGGCTTTCAGATTCTCACTACAGCTCATCTTTCTCAGTGGGCAAATTAAGGATTGAAGTCTATACTGCTCTTTTTCTACCAGTAGACAGTTAATAGACCAACGAGGTTTTGCCTAATAAGATATTAACCATGCAGCAAAATCCAATCACTATGGAAGAAGCCTGAGTATTACGTAAATATCTCATGTATTGCACCACAACTGCAAATAATCGCCCAAACTACAAAACTGGTGGCCAGTTTACTCAATCTCCAACTTACCCAGGCTTTCTCTCTTAGCTTGAAATGTTGGAGGCAGCTGAAGGAGGCATCCAGGAATCAAGTAATGGACAAGGAAAAGTTCTAAGTTGCTGTACTGCTCTGATCAGCCAGAGGCCAGGGTCCTATGGTAGAGAAGCCTGGCACATACATACGTGATTTTCTAAAATAAACCTGGAGAGGTGACAGACTTCCAAGGGAACACGACCCCTAGGTTCAAGCCCTAGTGGAACTTTAGTTCAAAGCCTCTTAAACATATCCAAAGGCCTTTCGTGACAAGAAATTTTACAATACAAATTATTTCTAATGTCTAAGTTCCCTCCTTTTTGTGGCTGACAGAAGGAATGGGATTGCTAAAACTAGATCTCACTGTGCCCTTCCAGTATATCCAGGCAAAACCTGTCAGCAACCTTCACAGGCAGAGGACATCTCAGTGGAAGTCAGCCTGGAAGCCAGGTAAGGGCTCCAGGATAGTGATCTGTCACTCTTCCTGATGTTCTTCTCTGACCGCAAATTCAGTAGATTGCTTGCTTCTTTGAAAGAGCTTGAGTTAACTAGGCTAGCACCTCTATTTCCTTACTCCCTTAGAGGCGAAGGGCAACTGGTTAATCAAATAGCAACATGGTTCAATGGAAAGAACATGGATTTCCACTTACTAGCAAGTCATCTACTTTCTCTGAGTCTTGTTTTCTCATTGGTAAAAGAGGAATAGTAAGACCCATCTGACACAAGATTCTCCCACTGGAATCTTCTCATGTCAGATGATGCTTAAAAAAAAAAAAGAGAGAAAAAGAAAAAAGCATAAGGCTCTGACATGGAGCTTACTGACTTGGGTGGTGGCTGCAGGGCTAATTCTAGGAACACAGTGCCATTGGCCAGGCTTAATACAGACAAACCAACACCAGGGAAAAACATAAATATGAAAATGACCTCAGTATAATTTTTCAAGTGAAAAAAAAAAAAAAAAAAGAAACAAAACAAAATTCTCCTGGCCTCCTGTTGAGACCAAACTATTAGTTGGTTTGGCCAACAGAACCCAGTGAATTCCAAACCCAATGAAATAGAAGCTAACATGCGTACCAATGTAAAGGTATCCAGCCTCTTGTACACTGACTGCACAACTAGCCTCAGCAAACACACTTATTCCACAAAAATCAATAGGTATCTCTGAGCTAAGTCACAGGACAGTTTAACATCCTCCTAAGAAGCAATTCGGGGAATGGCAATTCATGGCTGCTCTCCTAGGTTATAGCACGGGTCTTGAGAGAAGCTAGCAAGCTCATTAAATGAGCCAAGAGGCACAGGCTTAAGTGGGGGTGCCCAATGGAAGGGAACTACTCAATGCTCGTGCCATCTGAGAAGGAAGAGAGATGATAGCACTCACACCGACACTGCTAGAGAAAGAACAAGCCTTGACCAGGTAAAATGTCTAACCAGTCTTTTCCCTCAACCAATAAGTTCAGAAATGTGGGACCTCATCAGATTGATCCAAAAATGGATAAAAAAAAGAGTAGCAACCAAACCCAGAAGAGGGAGCCGTGGAGAAACAAAAGGTGGTCTCCTTGACTGTCTGCCATTCTTATTCATAGGAAAGGCTGCAGAGGTTCACAAAATGCAGTTCTTCACATGCACTTCATCTCACACTGCAAAATTTGGACCTAACCGTTGTGTGTAGCAAAGGCAGGTGCTTCCAATTCACTTACAGATTTGGTTTCTGAGAGCTGTCACACTCACCCATAGTTACAATGTCTTCTGAATGGACTGACAGAGCTGAGTTCTCCATCTCATTTTAGTAACTGTGGCAGGAGTGAAATCTTCCAACTATCCCCCCAAATACTCAGAATCCTCAGCACTTAACAAAAACCTTTGCACATACACTCAATAGATTTCAGCTGAATGAGTCATGAATAAAGGAGCACAAGGCCTACTTCCTCTACCCTCCCATTATCCCCGTCCTACACAACAGAGAGAGAACAACATAATTTCAAGGAACACACTGCTCATCCCAAGAGTTCTCAGAGAAGCCAACGCAGAAACAATACACTTCAAAACCCTACATATTTTTTTTTAGTGCCAAAGTTGTTGTCTTTGGCAAATGTAGTGATGATATTACGACGACAATGCAATCATAACAAATAACATTCAAAGAGTATTGCAGATATTCAGCTGCATTTCCAGTGAAGAAAGGCTAAATTGCCTCCAGACACAGCAATGACTGACAGGCTCTGGTTGGAGCACATTATTTGCAGCTCTCAGGGACACCTGGATATCAAACTATAGAAAAAAATATTTTAAAAACACTGATGTTTTGTTGTCGGCATAAAAGAAAAATAAATTAAAAAGCCCAGTACATTTTCCAGTCTGATATAAATTAATTCACACAGCATATTTAAAATAGTCAATTATAAGTTTCTCTCATAAAATTTAAAAGGCAGCCATCAATCCTTGGATTGTGCAAGTGCAAAGGAATGGAATTTTCTTCATAATCAAGACACCTCAGTCTCTGCATAGGAAATGCCAGTGTTCCAAGTTGAACAACGCCTCGGGCCTATGTCATTGAAGCAATCCTCTGGTTACACTGCTCCCTTCCCCTTAATGTCCAGCTTGTTACTGGCTTCTGATTGCTTGTTCAGCTGCTCTTCAGTGAAAGTGATGTAGGAATACACCAGGCTCCCGGCAATACTGCAAAACAGAAACCCACGATCAGAGAGAGAGAAAGGAAAGAATGAAGAGAGGGAAGAAGAGAGGATTGTTGGATTGGGGTTAAACACTTTACAAAGTGTTTATCTCAAAATTTATAACACTGGTTCAGTCAATGGTGAGGTGGTTAAAGCAGTTGGGTTTCACATGGCTAACTGAGTAGTTCCAATCTCACACCAGGCACACGTACATGTATGCCCAAAATCCTGAGAGGAGACAGAAATGAAGGAGAAGGGACTGCAGCAGGACTAGTCACCTTAGGGGGTGCTGTTTCACTTTCCCTCTGCCTCTCTCCAATAAGCGCATGCACCCTCTGGTAAATTCACAAAATTTATGATAACAAAAACATTAGATAAAGGATAAATGTTTCACAGTGAGGAATTACATAAATTCATACAACAGAATACTATGCAGCCATTAAAATGATATAAGGCAACAACATCTTAAATGAGAAAAAAAAAAACCTCACAAAACATTAAGCATTGTTTAATCCCATATTTAAATGAACATGAATATGTACATGGATCTGCAATTGGAATAGACAAAAGGTTGGAAGGAACACAAAGAATATTAGTAGTGGTTACGACTGAACGATGAGATTATGGGTGATTTTTATTTATATTTTTTGCATTTTCAAAAACAAGCATTCAAGCAATTAAAAGGAATTTTCGATTAGATGAAAACATCCCAATTAGTTAGTGAACATGTATACCCCGGGAGGTTCACAGAGGTGGTTTCTCTCTGCTAGAAAGAAGTCCACAATGGGGAACTTATCTGAGCCCTCTTGATTGCTGGTATTTCTCACTTGCACATCACACCTACCACCAGGAAGGCTCACTTTCTGGGGACAGTGATTATCTCTGTCTGTTCTCTGCAGAGAACCTCAAATCCACCTGGGATACACATCTCCTGCCCCAATCACTCAGCTGAAAGTAAGCTAGAGGAGCTCTCAGATCCCACCCTCCCAGTCTGCCCTGTCCTGCTCTGCTCTTCCACTGAGACTACCACTCAGGAGTGTGTGGAGTCCAGCCAGCTAGGCGTCTGGCCTGGGCAATGGTTTCAGATTCAGAGAGATTTTGCCTATAGGGCGTGTGCACTTGGGCACCTTTCTGAAAGGTGATTTAATGAAATGACATAGTAAAGGTGGCTATCACATACTGCGTAGTCAACCAGTACTAACTCTACTTATTGCCTTCCCAGATATCTATTTATTCCTTTTCCATTCTAAGAAAAGTTTTGGTCTTTGTACATACTTAAAAAAAGAAAAAAAAAGTATTTTAGTCACAGAAGTTTGGCCAAGATGTGACCCATTCCATCTGCCTAAGGGCTTTAGGAATTTTCCCTGCAATAAATCTAGGGGGGAAAAAAGGCTCCCCAAATCTGTTCTGATATTCTTTGGAATTCACAGTCCTTGACAAGGACATGATTTGCTAAATTAACTGATTATCAAGCAAATCTTAAGATCAGAATTATGGTGAAGTCCTATGCACATATACAGGGTTTTTTTGTTAGTTTTTAACTGCCAGAGGACATGTGCACTCGCCATAGAGAGACAGAGAGAGGAACAAATTATACCCCAAGAGGGTGTGGTCACGCCACCATCCCTTCTCCATTTCTCCATCCTGTCAGGATTTGGAACATGTGCACGCACACATCCCTGAGGTGTTTTTCAACCCACAGGGTGCAGATTCAAACCATGCTCAGCTATGTGTGGCCCAGCTCCCTTAACGATTTGGCTATGGGGCCGGCCAATCAGTCTCTCTCTCTCCATATATATATATATATACACACACACACATACAAAGATATATTAAGTATATATACATTCGTGTGTGTGTGTATATACATATATTTATATATCTTTTAAAGACTGAAAAATTTACAGAAAAATTAAGGAGAAACAATATAAGCCTAATAAACACTGTTTCCTATTTCTTTCTACTCTTTAGTGCTAGTATTTTGGAAGAGGGAATTCCCTTACATGTTAAGAAACAGCTCCTTTCTTTTGCTTTCAAGATACCTTTGGGAACTTATTTGTTGATTCTAGCAGGGAACGACAGATACTCATGTACATACCCTTTAACAAAAGAATGGTCTTCTTCTTTTGGGGAAGGTTGTCCTCTTCAACCAACCAAGCATGCAGCTTTGAATGGGACATACATGGGGCAGTGAGGGAGGAAAGGGACCCCTACCTAGCCAGCCAGATCAGCTGACTCAACCCTGGCAATCAATCAGTGTGCTGCCAGCCATCGCAGCCAGATTGTCCTTCCATCCTCATGACATCTTCACCCAAGCAATCCCATTATTCTTTCCCCTTTCCTTTATGCTCTTTTTTCCTTTTCTACTTCTTAAAAGAAACCCTAAAATATTGGTGGAGAACTCCTATTAAAACTAAAAGTAGAACACATTTTATGTGTTTTCCACACCTGGAAGAAGTTCTTGCAAATTCTCGTTTCCTCCAAAATAACCTCAGAGCTACTGACTGCATAAAACACCTTCCATGGAACTTCCTGGGCAGAATCAGAGAAGTTCAATGGCAGAATTAAGATAGAAACCATAGTTCCAACCTCACATTTTACATTTAAAAAACTGTGGTCATCAAAGTGAATTACACTATAGATAACCAGTGGCAGTTTCAGCAACAGAACATGGGCCTTTACTATATTCCAGTTTAGTTCTCTTTTGTCATGAATTATAACTGAGAAGCTAACTAACCTCCCTGTAACCTACTTAAAAATACAGATTATTTTAGTGAGATGTCAGCTATACACCACTTTAAATAGCCTGAGAGATGTTATACCAGCAGCAACAAACTGTCCGTCTAAAATATGTCCTCCTTGCTCTCCAAATCAAAGAATTACTGAGCATAGGAAGCCATTTCTTCTTACTTCAGGAGAAGGTTGAAGAGTCTAATAACTATAGCAGTCCGAGGCTTCTGCTTAGTTTGGAACTAAGAAGTCACACTTAATTTTAAGGAAACAGACAAATACATACAAAAATGAAGGAACTGTGGATGCAGGTACTAAATAGAGGTGGCCAGACCAAAGTCCTCAGGAACCAATTGCAGAGCTAGACTCTGAGTCTTACCATGTCCATCTTAGAGCTCATACAGACCCTCTGGCTTCAGAAGCTGGATTAAAATGGTTTTGTTACAGAAAAGGAAACTGGCTTGAGTATGCAACCAGTGTGATGATGTATTATAAAGGAATATGGAAATAAAATCATTTCATTCATCTATTCATCATTTACTACACAGTGCAGTGTTCAGTGTGAAGAATTAGAAGATGAATCATGGGTCAGTCACTTAGCAGAAAGTAATAAGGGGCAAGTTTCTTAGCCTCTCTGTGAAATGGAATATTCATGGTACCTACTTCTTATTTTATTTTATTTTTTTATTTAAATATCAGAGGGCACATGCATGTGCCAGAAAGAGAAAATACCCCTCCCATTGGGCCTGATCATGCAGCAATCCCCTTTTTTCCATTCGTGTCAGGAGTCTGGGCATGTATAAATGCATACCCACAAGCTGGTGTGTTTTCAAAGTCACTGGGGCCAGGATCTGAATCACCGGATCCCATGGGGGATCCTGCCTGTTCCACACAGCAGTTAACCACTGCACTATAATACCAGCCCCATTTTATAGGGCTGTTGTAAAGATTAAGTGTAGAGTATGTAGGACTTGTGATTCACACAAAATAAACATAAAAACTAAGGGTAGGATGCCAACTCTGTAGCACAGTGGTTAAGTGCAATGCACTGGAAAGTGGATCCCACAAAGCCAACTGTGGTTCGAATCTCAGTCCTAGAGGCTTTGAAAACAAAGCAGATATGTGTTTGTGCAGGCCCAAAATCCTGACAGGATGGAGAAATGGAGGAAAAAGACTGGGGGCTTGAAAAACACCCCAGGCTTGGAAAATACACTGGGCATGTGTATGTGCATGCCCAAATTCCTGAGAAGATGAAGAAATGGAAGGAAAAGATTGCACCACATAGAAGGGGTACTTTCTCTCTCTGGTGAGCGTACACAGATCCTCTGGAAATTTAGAAAAAATCATTGGTTAGTACTTTGTTGTTATTATTACTTCTGAATGCCTATTATGGGCCAGGCACTAATACTATATATAAATAAGACAAGTGATTTCTGCCCTCAAAGAGCTGATAATTTAAAGTGGGAATGATTACATAATATGATTTACCAGGTTGCAGTACACTTACCCAGTCATTTATTTAATAAGATATTAAGGGGAAAGAACTTGTGCTCTGGACATGTATGAGGACAAAGATGTCAGTATCTGGAAGAGCAACATTACTCAGGCCTAAGCCAGAGTCCAGACTTTGATGAAAGTACAAGAGCATGTTCTATTTTTACTCTCCTCTTTCCTCACCTCTTCTGCTGCTTTTTTGGCTTGAGTGAGCACTCAGAAATTAGCCACTGGAAAAAGGCATTTAGGGGAGTTGGAGCAGGCGAGCTCTTGATAGATCCCTACTGAAAAGAATTACCTTCTTAAATCTCAGGCTCAAAGTTGGATGGAACCTGAGTAACTACTATATAAACCTCCTGCTTCCTTCAACTGAAAACCAGAAACATGGCTAATATGGAAGGGTGACTTCCTTCAAAGCGCAAGCTGCCCAAGGATCAACTGACACAATTTCTAAGCAAAGTGAAATTTAATAACTAGTTTCTGTAAATTTGGTTTTTACATTAAAAAGTAACATCCACGACCACTGATTCTACTGATTAGCAGACGAAAATCAAAAGAAATGTAAAAAATAAAATACTCCTCACTTTAAAGAGAAAGAGTAGCTAAAAATGAGACAATATACTTTCCTTGCCAAAAGAGGAGAAGTACACTGTAATGGAAATACTTGAACAGGAGTCAGGACACCTGTATTCTACTCCCAGCTCTGCAATCACCCAAACTGGCTGATTAAAGCATATTACTCATTCTTTTTCACCTTGTAGTAAAACAAAGATAGACACAGCTTGCAAAATTTATTACAATAAAATGCAATTCGAAATTATTAAAAATGTTAGAAAAAGATGGACTAGCCAGGTGATGTGGTGGTTAAGGTGGCTGGATCCCATGTGGTGACACTGCTGTTCAAGTTCTGAACCTAGCAGCTTGAAAAACACACTGAGGGGCCAGCAGGAGGTGTGGTGATTAAAGCAATGAATTCCCACATGGCCAACTGTGGTTCAAGTCTTGGACCTGGCCACTTGCATTCTCACTTTTTGTTTCTTTCTCTCTACTGGCCCCCCAGGGAGATCGTAAGAAACCTTCCCAAGGGGGTCCAGCTGTGCTGCTGTCTGGTCCCCAGAGTGGTTATATTTAATTCAGTCGTTGTACTTACCTGATATTTAAGCCAATGAAGTTTGTCCATGTGAAAATATAATCTCCACCAAAGACCATTCCAATATAAGTTATCAATATATTCTAAGAAGAAAGTGGTAATATATTGTTACAAAAGTTAACTATGTTTTTAAAATATACATATAAACACATCTGTGCTACGACTCAAATATTTACTCTTAAAATACAAAAACAAACAACCGTCAACCCTAGAATTAGTATAGTCTGAGCAAGAATCTTTCTTCATAAAATAAATGCTTTCACCAATACTGAAGAATACTAACAAGATCACCAAACTTTCTCTGCTGTGTGGTATGGGCTGACATTATAAATCTAAACAGAGAAACAATGTGATAGCTAGGAGGAGGAAGTATAAAAACACATTTAGCAATCTTAGAAAAGACTGCTTTTTTTTTTCCCACTAAGATATCCGTCAACTTGTGAGAGACGAGAAAAGGAAACACTGCTTCCATGTAAGCATCTTCTGTCTTTTACAAAAGGAAAAAAGGGACAATGAAAACTTTACTAACACAAAGACTGTTTTTAGAGAGATCTTCCTTGGAATCTTAAGAAACACATGGTAAATCATCTCAAAGTACTGTACCCGAAATCAACCTCTTGACATTCTCAGATGGAAACATCTTCTGCCTCCCTTTAAATTATCCACACACCACAGAATGAAAAACATGTTTCCTAAGTTTAAAATATTATTCAATTCCTCCCCCAAACTCCCTTCTTCCACATTTTTAAGTCACTTCTTCTCTTCCTGCTACTATAGCTGCCATAAATTGTCCATGTTGCAAAATTTTTATTACCTAAACTCTCCTAGATTAGGCCTATGTGACAAAAACTAGAATGCTATAGCATTTATAAAAGGTCAAAAACAAACTTCAAAAATTATTTCTATAACAAGAGTATTCAAAATTATGTCAGTCTCTTCTAGGTTTAAGGATACAGAAAGCGATTACTCTAAAACAGATTTTCGTTTTATTCAAGGGGGGAATATTAAATTATTGGGCTGTCAGAAAAATCATGACGTATTTTTACTATGCTTTTCTATGCCAAAACGCATCATGACTTTTCTGACAACCCAATAAATATCATGTAATAGATTAAATAAAGTTCCGTAGTCAGCTTTGGAAAGTGTGTATTCTCTTTGAATACAGAGATCCAGGCAGAAGGTGAATTAATTTGCATACATTGCCCAAGGAACTTCAGAAAGGGAGGGGGCAGAAAACCTAATCCTTGCTACTCAAAATCAGAAGTGAGAAAAACTGCAGTTCTGTATTAGGGTATCCTAAGGAAGGTTTGCTATCAAGAAAAGGCACGTTCCCCAAACAGAACCTACCAGGGATCACAGAAGCTCAAAACTATCTGCGATTTTCTATCCTGATAGCTCAAAACTAAGACTGCAATTTTCAAACTTTACTATATCTGAGAATCAGCTGGAACCTTTTTTTAAAAAGGTTTTTGCCAGAAGGTACATGTACTGGCTACAGAGAGACAGGAGAAGGAAAGTGAGAAATTATCCTTGGGTAATGGGGGAATGGTCATACAACAATTCCATCTCCATTCTCCTCCTGGGATTTTGGTCTTACATGCACATGTGCCCAGTATGATTGCCATGCCACCAGGTCAGCCACGTAGGAGTCCAGCAAATTAACCATTATGCCACCTGCTGGCTCTGAAAACTGTTAAAATTGAAGATTTCTGGAGAAGCAGATGACATAATAGCTATGTTGTTGGACTCTCACGTAGTCGACCGTGGTTCAAGTCCCAGAACCAGCAGCTTAAACTCATTGGGTACATTTGCAAGCATGCCCAAAATCCCAAGAGGAAAAGGGATTGCAGCATGGCCATCCCCCTGAGGGGGGATTTTAGCATCTCGTCTGTCTCTCCAGTGAGCGGACACGCCCTATAGTAAAAATCTCTCTAAAAAAAGAATAAAATAAAATAATGAAGATTTCTAGGCTCTACTCCAGAGATTGTGATTCATTATAACACAGAAGGCCTAGAGATGTCCATTTTAAACTAGTTATCCTAAATGACTTTCTCACACCAAAGAGAAGAAAGGAGTGCTGTCCCAAGTGTTTGTGGGGTTGGGATCCTTAAGCACAGAAGGAAGCTTAAAGCCCCCTGGAGAAATAATGGCTGAGCTAAAAAGGGTTATGGTTGGGAGGCTAAAAAAAGAAACTTCAGTGTGGCCTCAAGACTCCAGCCAGCTCCAGTGTAATGGTTATGTCTCTGGACTCCCATGTAGTCAACTGCGGTTTGAGTCCTGGACACGGTGGCTTAAACTCACGCTGGGTGCGTGTGTGCCCAAGATCCCAAGAGGAGAATGGAGGAGAAGGGATTGCGGTGTGGCCATCCCTCTGGGGGGTGATTTCTCGCTTTCTGTCTCTCTGTCTTTCTGGTGAGTGCATACGCCCTATAGCAAAAACCTCTCAAAAAAGAGAAAAAAAAAAAAAAAATATTAAAAAAAACTTCAGCCAATAAGGCCATCAGTTAGACTCCCACCTGTCTGAAGATCAAACAGCATGCAGCAGAGAGAAGCAAGAACAACAGTGAACTAATCAGACAACCCAGGTTTTTCTTCCGTGTATAGTATTTGAATAAAAATAAGCCCTTTGAACTGAGTAAGTCCCTGGATTTCCTGGACTACTATGAGGAGAAGCATATATCAAAAGAAGAGTATAGCCTTAATGAGAGCATGACTGTCTTTGCAGCCCATGCTAATAACAATAAAGAAAGTACATTTAAGAAGCTCAGCCATGGTAATGCACACTAGTTGACACCGCTATGCCACAGGCTAAGACCAGCATAAGACGCCCTAAAAGCTGGTTGTGCAGGCATGCACCTGTAGTCTCAGCAACTTGGGAGGCTGAGATAGGAAGATTGCAGCACAGAGAGACCCTATCTAAACAAATACATACACTCAAAGAAATTCCAAGCAATGAGACTTAGTTATTCAAATTTAATTTCCTATTCAATTCTTCTTGGCTAAAAATATGATATCAACTGCCCTATGTCTCATGTTCTTTCTGCTCTTATTCTGAAGATGCAAGACATCCACTTTGCTCTTGAAACATTTGCTTTACAAAAACAAAACATAGCTCAAACCTAATTTAGAGGGCTAACATTGTATCAGTCAGCCTAGTCCCTTAAATGTAGACTGCCTCTAGTTTTTTGGGGAAATTCACATAACTGACTTGTATTTTAATTTAGAATTCTACTCACACCAAACATTCCCATGATTTGAAGCTGTAGACTTTCTTGAGTTTTAACCTACTCTGGTTTCAAAACTGAGGCAAGGAGGGCCACACAACTGGGGAGTGCAGAGCGAAACACAGTAGAATAGTAAAAGCTGCATCTCTACAACTCCTTCCCTCACTACTGACCACTGGAGCACCAGAAAGGAATTCGCAGGAGGAGCTGCCTTCTCTTCCCAGTGATCAAGGATCGACCTCTCTGTCTAGCCTTTTTTAGAAAGCAAGCCTACTTTGCTCATTCGTTTGAAATTCAGGCATGCTATGGCCTCTTGAATATTACACCACTAGAATCACCAAGTCAGATGAAAGAGGCCCTTAGGCTTCAAGCCTTCACTAACTTTAGCTCAAAATTCAATGAAATAAACTTGGCACTCCTGGCTGAAGACAAATGAGTCTCCTGCAAATAAAACGGATGAGGAGGAAATGACATCACTGGAAAGGTCAGACACAGCTTTTAGAACTGGGCCATTTAAGGTTTGGCTCAAGCAAAGGAAAATTCTCTTGATTAGCTTCTGGCAGGCACGCTTTCCCTACAAAAGAGCCAGATCTCGGTGAGGCAGAGAATAGAACAGTTCTCACTGGGGCCTAATGGGACGAGTCTATCACCATTACTGAGCTATTCAACTGCCCTGTCAAAAACAGGCCTAATTCTTTCTTCCTCTACTCTAACAGAATACATTTTTTCTCCTATACTCCTCAGAGCTAAGTTGCCTGCATACAGAAGATGGCCTCCCTGAGTTCTTAGAATTTGTTTCAGAAACTATCACCATAATTTGTTAAACTATCAACAAGACAGTATATGAGAAAACAAGGATGACAAGGCTTAAGGCCATAGCTAGACTTATTTTAGAGGAACAATTTTCAAATAACGCAGGTCCCAAAAGTGTTTTTCAACTCACCTTAATGCAGCCAACTATTGTAGTTGTAAGAGCAGAATTATACTGAGTGCAGAGCACTGTGGCGTACATCAAGATAAACCTAGAATGAAGAAGAGGTATTGTTCTAAGTGTGATCCCATTACTTACTTTAAAATCAACTCCCGCCAGGAGAAACAACCAGGGTTGCCCAAGCTAGCACATTCTAGTCACTGACTATGAGCTCTTCCCTACCTTGCTGCCGCCTGTACTGCAGTTTCAGCTTTTTAAAAATCTCACTGAAGAGAAACACATGTCTACTTCTT